AAAGAATAGAAAAGAAAAAAAACAGACATAATTGTAGCACAAAGGAAATCAGCAATGACATTTTGCTTACACCTCATTTGTTTATTTATCGCCATCAACGACAAACATCAACTCTCATTTTACACAGTTTTATAATGATATCCATCGATAATTACTGACATCTACCGACTAATAAAAAAAATATTCGAATACCTTAGAGAAAAGAAGGCTTCTCGGTTAAATAGATTAAAACAACGGTTACTCATGTCAGTTCTAGAGGCTGATCTGTACAGTAAATGTTTAGTTTGTTCATTTTCATTGGCAAAAAATATCGAATATTAACCTTTAGTTCTTTTAGAAATGAGTATTTCTGTTGTCAACGGGTTATATTGAAAAAAAATCAAATTAACCATTTTATATAGAAAAGAAACAATTTACATTCATAAATTTGTTTTTTTTTCTCTATACAACGTAGTAGTTCTAATCAGCAAGGTAAGCTTCATGTTAGAGTTCGGCAGGTCCAATATCTTTCAACCAGACCTAGACCAGCAGAAACCTTTTAGACCAGGTTCAGATCTGCATTCAGGATCGACTAGACGGACTCTAACTCACGTGGAACTGATATGCACTCATACTCCATATTTGTTCGTATTACCGCTGGTATAATGCGGTAGAATGGTGGTCAGAAGATTGCTAACCTTCCAAGTATCAAACTACTGCCAGTTGATAATCGGTATATCGGCAGGTTTTGTCTTGTATGTAATTACAGGCAGAATTTCTCAATTTCATCATACATACTTTAAGTGTAGTCGAAGAAGTGATTGAGTACATATAATTGTAAGATAAGTTTCTCGAGTTCTTATCTAACCTCGTAGTTGTGTAACTTAAACATGTTATATCGATACAATATATGTTGAATTGAGGAAACTTCGATTACAAGATGAAGAAAAATTGAATTGATCATTAAAACGATAGGTTTGCTTCATCTCGAGTTTTGTTTAAGAAATTGGTCTTTAAGAAAGATATTATTTATTTCAAGTGACTAAAACAATATTAACTTTTCCTTCATATGTAATTGGAATTAATTTCGATGAAAAGTCTTTCTCGTGTATCTGAAACTTTTGATTTTAATCCTTTGGGAACGGAATTTTTTTTCAATCGAAAAATGGTTCTTCAATCAATCTGTTGTATTTGGCTTAAAATGACCAGATAAAAGCCTGATAGTAGCAGAAAGAAAGGAGGACATCTGAGAAGGATCTATACGGCAGGAAGAAAGAGAGAAAAGATCTGCATGAGATGGCAGATAGGCGACCTATTTACCTTAAAGATTGTAACAGTTTAATATAGAGCAAACAGTTTCTGTACTGAAAAATAGGTGGGACAAATATATCCCACCGTCCTCAAAGGGTTAAAAAGATACTAAGATAATTGCCTAAGAATGTTGATTGAGTATCATATTACTGTTTCTTGAACCTTCTTATAATTTCATTCTATGAAAGAAGCAACAAAAGACTTATCATATTTATCGTTCATAGAAATGTTCGAGGTCAAAACTTGGAAATTTGCCAGGATACGAACTACAAGAAGAAAGTTGTCCCAATTGAAATTAAAGATTATAGTTAACTATTCTATGGTTTTATGCGAATTATGTTGTAACTCATCAATCAGAACGTAATTCAAGAGAGTTGACACACAAAAGTGTGAACCGTTGACTGATTACATCAAAAACGAGTATTGACGATTTTTTAGGTATGATACGAATAAATTCTGAAATAGTGTTCTCGAGACCGAAACAACAAAACTTGATCCCGTACATCTCTCATTATCTATAATAAACTCCGAAGATGTTATTGATTTCATTTTCTATCATAATATATTTTTATAATGTTTCGCCACAAAAGTTTGTTGAAATGCTGTAATCTTTGCTTGAGTTTCTTTTTTTTTCGAAGTACATGACATAGGAAGAACACTTTTCAGTTATCAATATACGCACAATTTTGGAAAGTTTTCTATTTTAATTAGTGGATAGAATTAATAAAATATAGAGCATATACTCTATTTGATATTTTTTATGAATTACTGCTAGAAAAGTTTCATTCAGTATTCTCAGTATTTTAACAATGGTGATAATTAGATATCAATAAAAGCTGACACTATCGTATTTTTCAAGTACTTTTTAATGTCCTTCATTAGTAATAAATGTTTGTATCTGGATCTAATCTAGTGGTTTTCTTCATATCCGCAACGCGAACTGATTTGAATTCAAACAATGGATCGAGTGAGATGTTATATATTTGACTTGACTGTGAGATTTTAGAACATGCACCAGTATACTGACCAAAATAGTGATTCTTCAATAAGAAAAAATAAAATAGATTGAATCAAAGTTGGTATTGATAATGTCGACAAAAGATCAAATACAAAAATAATGATACATATCTAAGTTCATGCAGTGAAAAATCTATTTCATCGACACTATTTTCTCTTCCTGACATAGCGTACACAAGAATTAACATTCGCCACTCAACAGATGTGTAAATCTAAAATAAATATGACTATACTGAGAAACACTTTAAACACAATCGTCTTTTTACATTTATTATAATCTAACTAATTTTTTATTAAATAGTTAGGATTTATTAATAACATATGAAACTCATTCTTTTTTTAGAACAATTAATCAAGTCAATATGCAATCAGAAGATAAAACACTACGTTCTTAATTTATGAATTTATTCGTCTGTAAAAGAATATTCATTTCAGCTACATTAAACAGAAGAAGGTTAGTTACGAGAGTTATATGTAGCCTTCATCAGTTGAAAAATTTACCAGAGCATTTTTCTCATAAGAAATCGACTAAAATAGAACGAATGTTTTAATCTACTAAGAGTAGTACTGAAGATTATGGATGTTAAATAATGAGTTCGTTTTTCTTGTTTCGTTTACGAAATAAACTTGGAATAATAATGAATGAAAAGAAAAATAATTAAGAGTTGATCAAAGATATTCTGTTTGAGTATAACTAATCTTGAAATAAGATAGTGATACAATAGATAGCATTTGTTTATAGATATTTTTTGCTACAATTATATTAGACCAAGCAAACACAAACCAGCTGGTTAAAACAGAACTCATTAAATTGTTATTACAATAAATAAAGAATATTTCCTTATTGGAAAATAATAGATAGTTAACCAAAGATAAAGGAAATTCTAACAAGAACATAAGGAATCAATTAAAGAAGACACATTATAGCATGAATAATGGTTTAAATTACTTTAAATTTGTTAATTATCAATTAGAAAGAAGCATACGATCAAGACTTTTCGAACTTATCGATAGTGATAGAGAACTATTTCGATCTCGGTTTTTTTTTGGTTTGCGAAATCATAAAATAAATGATATGCCAATCGAGCATATTGAGAACCCTAGTAAATGTATGGATTTTGAGATACCCGTATACTAAATCAGTTGACAGTGGAATATCTTTTCGAGTATCCTGTTACTAATGTCGGCGCCAGAATGAAAGAGGGGTGGATATAAATTGAATAACTCAACAACGGCAAGAGCTACTGAGCTGCGGTTTTCACCAATCGAAAGAAGAGGAGTAGCACGTCTTTTTCTCTGATAATGTATAAGACGAAATCTTTTTAAAGCTAAACATACTCGAAAAACCTAAAAAAGAATCCATGAAATGACCTGGCAGCTGCATGAAATTTTAATTTTGACCTTTTATTTAGATAGAGGGACTTCAGATCTATAGTTCAAGACACAATGCGCTTTCTTACTTTTTCTTGCATTTCCATCGAAATCTCAAGCTACTAGGATAAACAGTGGGAAAATTGCGAAAAAATCAGCAAAATGTCCTATTATTTGCGCATGTCAGTGCATGATCCCATTTGCTCAGCGTTTGAATATAATAAGACAACCATTTGTATTGTATTTTAAGCTATAGATCTGAAGTCTCTCTATCTAAATCAAAGGTCAAAATTAAAATTTCATCTAGCTGCCAGGTCATTTCATGGGTTCTTTTTTCAGGTTTTTCGAATATGTTTAGTTTTAAAAGGATTTCGTCTTATACATTATCAGAAGAAAAGATGTGCCCATTCCTCTTCTTTCGATTGGTGAAAACCGCAGTTCGGTAGCTCTTTCCGTTGTTGAGTTATTAAATTTATATCCACCCCTCTTTCATTCTGGCGCCGACATTAGTATATTACAAGATCTTGATTAAGTACCCTGTTGAGAAAAGTTTCAATACATGAATACTTACCAGGCACCTACTCAGATTGTACAACACTCTATGGAAAATGTTTCAACAAGTAGACATATTGAACATTGAGAAATATTCTATAATCAAATGCAAAAGCTCATAAAGTGCTCAAAGGTTTTTCTGATTTTCGTACATTTACTAGGCAATATTTTTATACTGAGAAAAGAGTATTTGTTTTATTGAAACTTTCGAAGTACATTAGTAATTATTAGATAAGAGAATCTCTATTCAAAAGTATTCGGAATTGCAGAAGTACGATACTTCTTCATTATTATTAGACGTATCTATAGAGAAAAATTAAGTAAAATATCTAAAAGTTTTTATCAGTAAATTAGATTTATGATCTTTTTAGATATTTTTTATTCTATTAATTATATATTTATAACGAAAATATAAAGTTGAGCTACCTTCCATATTTTCTGTTAATTTCGAAATTAAATAAAAGAGGCATTGGTTGGTCTTCAGTGCTAAACATTTATTGAACTGACGATTGATTTTTCATTTAGCATAACTCTATGATCTTTGTTTGTGTCCTATTAGAGTTCTTAAGAATAGACTATTATTTAATAATTCATCGAGATTAAATCATATTAATACTAAATATAGAATATAATGCAAAATATAAGAATCTAATTTTGTTATCTTCTGATCAAATTTCTATAAATACTCTGTAGAATATAATATGATTCAAGAATTATTGTTTACAATTCAATCATCTATTTTTTATTGAATTTTTTATAGAAAAATAAAATTAACATCCACTAGAACCAGTACGAAACTGTTTTATTGCCATTGCTTCAATATCACCAGATATTAATAATGTTTGTTGTCCTCCATCATGATTTTGAGAAGCATCTGAATTCTTTTTTATTATTGATCGTTTCATTATTGCTGGATGTGGATGCTTTTCAAGTGCATGTTGATTTGTTAAATTTTTATGATTTTGTTCAACAGGGTTTGATCGGCATATTCCATCAGATGAAGTTGATACGCGCTGATGAAGCTTTTCAGTTGATGTTAATGGATGTGCTGTTTTACGCACAACAGTTGTTGCTGCTGATGAACCAACGTATTTATCTGATTGATCACCTGGATGATTACCAAGAGTATTTAAAAGTTCGAAACGATTTTTCTGGTAAAAGAATAAAAATATTTTATTGTATTTTTTTATTTAAACTGATAAATATCATGCGGTACGTGCGCATTTTATATTTCGTCTATTCTGATATCATGCTTTCGTTAAAAATCAGAAAATATTTAGTCTCTTATCTTAAAAAATTGATCTGTATCAAATAAATTCTAGAATTGAATCTATTTCTTATAATTAAAATCCTTTATGTAAATTTTTTAAATTCTTTATCTTTCCTTTAACTTACTAAATATTCTTTATCTTTTCGTTTCATTATACGTCGTCGACGATAAGTCTAAGAAAATAAAAATTTTAAATGATTTGAAAATTTTTCTTTTTACTTTGTCTACTTACAACAAAATACATCCAAAGAAAAAATACTAGATGAAATATTGTATAAATTACAGCTAATGATATTAAGGCCATATTGTCCCAATGTGGTGCTACATGAGTTGGACATACAGCTATAATAGCATGCCAAGCACAAACAACACATAGCATTACCATGGATAATAAGACATATTTATCCTATTAATCAATCATGTAAAATAAACTTAAGTTAAAAAAGAACATTAATTTTACTAATGTTGTTAGATAAGATATTGTTGGTAAACATCGTACAACAACCCATTTAAACGTAACAGCTGTTAATAGAAGAGTAAAACTTAATTGGAGACGATTTTGTGGAAGATTATAAGTAACACTAAATGTAGCAAAAGCCATTACTGTGATAAAGAACTAAAAATTAAAAGATTCTATTTTCTGTTTAAAATAAAAATTTAATAAATTGAATTTACAATTAAAAAATAAACATTCCAATAGAAATAACCGGGTCGACGAGCAGCACGACCTAAAATTAATTAATTAAGAACTTATCAAGATAATTTTTCTCAATGACTATAATCCTTTCAATTATTTAAATTGATATTTAGCATATTAAAATTCAAAATAGAGCTTCATCTTTAAATGTAGAATGATCTACACTTAATGACTAGCAAAATAATGAATTGATTTTGAACAAAATATTCTTTGGATTACAAGACCTATGTTTAATCCAATTTTAGGTGAAAACTCATAGAACAACGCTCGAAAGAAAACTATTCTTTTTAAAGCTCCTTCTCAAATCTTAATCAAAATGAGATATCAGAAGAACATCATTGCGATTTGAACCTTGCTTCATTTTTTTATACTTGTAGGAAAAGTTCTTCAACGAATTAATTGCTTTCGAGTTGAGACAATGTGCATCATATAGATTCTAATGGGCTATAAATACACTGAAAAAAGTTCAAGTTCTTAGCTTATTGCTGCGAAGATACAACATTTTTATGGTAATTTATTAGTCAATACCATGTGCTTCGTCAGAAACAATAGGAAGACAAAATTTCAAAGCTCAACTTGAAACTGTGCACGATGATAGATCTTACAAAGAATAGTTTTTGATGAAAGGTTAAGATCTTTTGGTTTACTTCTAATCTTGAAATAAGAATATCGAATCTGCCGATATATATATATATATGAACGATATACAAGATAGGTTTTCATCATAGCCACATCTTACGATAGGAACAACACAACTATCTGCGAGTTTCACAATCAAATATTTGTGTTAAGGTTTGTCTCTGTACGAATTGTTTAGTCGAAATTCGAAAATCAATGTCCCTGTTCTTCTCGATGAGTAGTCATGATATTCATTTCAAAAATATCGTTAAAATACACTATCTCCACACTAATAACTTAAGAATCGAAACTTTTTTGAAAATATTCATAGATAACTCAAATCTGTAGGATGCACATAATTCCAAGTTAAAAGTGATAAATTAGTTATGAAATTTTCTTCACTGGCTAGATCTAACTTGTAAAAGTAATTCATAATAATATAGAAATCGTATCGTCTCTAGGAAATAATCAAAATTTAGAAATTTGAAGTGTTCTTGAAATATCTTTTTGACGAATCTTAGAAGATTTCTCTTACAAGTAGCTGAGAAAGCTGGATGTTGGTTTTGTGATGGTGTAAATGGACTTGATATTAATTTTGTTGATGTTTCAACATGTTCATGTAAACGCCATTCTTGTTGATCAATAAATGCATCTTAAAATTCAAGAAAAAAACATGTTGTTTTTTTTATAGACATAAACTATTCTTACGTGTATTAATTGCACTTAATTGATGAGTATCAGCAACAAATGATACTTCATTAACAGTTCTTGTTGTCGAAACTGTTATTGTTAAATCCTTTTAAAAGAATGAAATGTATTATAAAAATGAAAGAAATTAGAAAACAATAATTGTTTTTACTTGAACATCAACAGGAAAATCATTAAGTTCAAGATTTTCAAGAAAAACTCCTTTAACTTTTCGCATTTCATAAATCATTGGTGTATCAGTACCATCATACACAACTTTATGCCAAACATCATTTTTTAAATCTCCAACTGAATTATCAATATATAATAATGGATTCCAAAATTTATGTGCATCAAAACAATCAATTTCCTAATTAAATGTGTAATTTTTATTTTTATTTATAATTAAATGAAATCATGAAGTATGACAGTTTTATTCGAGCTAATTGACATACTTGTAGGTCACTTACCGTTCCTTTTAAACTTGGCTCATACCAACGTGCTTGAATAAATGCTTCAGCTTGAAATTGCTCCTTTAATGTATCAATTTCACCAATTTTCAAAAATACCACTCGTAATTCAACGGTCACCTTAAAATAAAATAATTCAATTTAGTTTTTCTTCATCATGAAAAGTATTTAATATAGTCAACATAAGATTATCAATGGATATTATAAAATTTAGCTTAGAAAAATCAGAAAAACATATGCGTGTATTCGATTTTTCTAAAAGATTCACCTAGCTCAGTTATATGTGCTGAATATATAAATTTTCGCATGATCTTTTTGCCAAATAATTTTTTTGATTAGTTATTGCTCGAGAATAGATTACCTAGAAGTAATTAAATCTCAAAATCTATCCATCCTAGATGTAAGAGCAAGTATTATTTATTCGAATTCAACAAAACAACTCATAATTATTTATTTTAGAAGAAAAAAGAAATGATAGATGCTTCAATTGAATACTAATTTCGAATAATATTTTCATAATGCATCGTAAATTGTATTGCAATATGTTTCACATATTCTATCCACATGTAAAATAAGTTATTTATAATAGTTGTGATCAATATACAAATGTTCTTTATTTATTTTATTATTAAGCGAAAAAAAATCTTTAACAATTATGAAGATAGAATGCTTTCTTTTTTCATCACAAATACTCCAAGGACACTACGTGATGAACATGTTATAATACCAATATGATTTTCTTTTATAGATCAATGAAATTCACTGATCATATTTCAATGATTTCTTATTTACTTATTATTGTTTATATAAGTGAATCTATTTGAAGAAAAAGAAATGATTGATATATATCATGATGAATATATATACATATGAACAAAAAAGTTATTTCATTCTAAACTAATTATTCTCTATTTATTAAATTCTTGTAAGTTATTTAAAAAAACTACATTCTAATTAATTAATACATACTCTTTCAAGTTTATGTATACCAGAACTATCATCCACCAATCTTGCTTCTTGTTTTGCACATACTTTAACAATTTGGTCTTTAATATCTGTCAAAAGCTTAACATTTCGTTTGAAATGATTATTTAATTCTTGAAGTGTATTTGTTAATTCATGTAAATCAACTGATGATGGTTGTGTGTTATGACATCGTTTTGTTGTTAAATATTGATGTGTTGATGATGATAATGATGATGACAGCGCTGTTGTAGGTGTATAAGCTGTTCCTATTCCATTCGAAGATAAGTTCATCGATAGTGATTCGTCACGTATGGCTATGTGATAAATTGCAGATGAAAACAGTTCGTCAAATAGACTTTTTACAATAGAAAGAACAAAAACAACTGAATATGACGATTCATCGATCTAAAAAAAAACAGAACTAATTGTTGATTTACAGATCATAGAAGGAATTTTCTTTTTTTTCTCTCTCGCTTTCTCCTATTCGACAAAGATCAGATTATTGTTCTTGTCATCATTGTTATCTCTAGAAACATCGAACTAACTATATTAAAAAAGAATCGGAATCAAAGAAAATATATATTTAATAAAAGAAATTTTTTAAGCAAATTATATGCATTACATATAAAAACCTACTTATACGTATATATTCTATATCGGATAGATCGATAAATCTTATTAGACAACAAAAAACCGAAATACATAACCATCGCTTTTTCTTTTAAGAATATAACGTCTTTTCTCTTTGTTAGATGCTTCACATTTGATCTCATCTTTGCTTCTCTACAAAGAGTCTCTTTCTGATACATAAGACTAAATGTCGTTGTCGATGAAGAGATGAAATAGCTGTTACTTGTAAGAAAAAAAAAAAGTATAAAGAAATTCTAGCTAAACGATTGCTGTACACATAATAACAACAGTATAATAATACATCGACCATCAAGAAACATTCCAAAGAAATGTTTAAAATGATGAAAGAAAGAAACATCAGCAACTAACATCATTATTTGACGAATAATTAAACATGTTCATTTATTATTTAAGAAAACAAATTTTTCTATATAAATATCGAGGTTTCTTTATTATCAATCACATGGAAACAAGAACAGCACTTGAAATATTATCATTCATTTCCTTTTATATTTCCCATATGATCCTATTTTCAATAAAAACATATATTATTATGTTAGAACAACAAACAGAATTCTTCTCAGCATTCACAAAATTGATGATAGACTTCTTCAAGAATAAGTGCATCATATTTGACATACACTACCAGCATTAGCAATCAATCAATATTAAGAAATTCTTCTCACGATTACTGATAGAAAGAAATAGAATTCACAACGATAATTCTCTATTTGTTTTTTTCTTTTTCTATTTCCAATCATACGTCATTCACTACCAAACAATTAGTTTGTTTTTTAATAGACAAAAGCAATGTTATACTACAATTATAATGAGATGATTAAGATTATTTTTTCTAGTAGAAGACGAAGGTCATCATTATTATTAACAGTTGATACTGTAATGCCATACAAAAGAGAAAAGAAAATGAATGAAGATTCATATTAAAGTTTTTCTATTATCTGTTCTTTTAGTAATAAGATAGAAATGCTCGAGTAAGCGACTTAATCATTTCATTCTAGGGATACATCCAATGTCTGACATACGTTTGATTAAATCGTATACAGTACAAAAATTTATTCAATAGGTTTCCTAGCAGATATTTTTGGAAGCTATCTTTAGAAACCGTAAAAAAGAAGTTCATTATTCTTACTTTTATATGTACTTTATGGAATTCAATAGACTGTCATCGAAGTTTTAAAATAACACTTACAATTCTATTTTTCATAGTTGAAGTCTAATTTTCTTTAACTCCGAAAAACATCATATTTGTATTCACGAGTTTTTGAAAACCACAAGTGACTTCATCGATGTTGACCCTATTATTCAACTGCATTTGTTTCATTCATAAAATAAATATGGAAAATTCTACTTATTGACTTCAATAAGGAACTGTAACAAAAAATTTTTCTTTCTAGCTTTTAATAGAAACATAGCTACATTCAATTTTGTTTATGATTTTCTCATACTTTTATTGTTTCGTATTAAACCTTTGTTTTATTATTCAACGTGTTTATAAAGTTTCAATCAATAACAACGAGAAATTTTTGGAAAGCTATAATTATATACAAAATATCTTTCTGAAAACAACATATTATAAAAGGTTATTTTCATAACGAAACAAATTAAATCTTATTTTAAAACTTGAAAAAAATGATTTTTTCATTAGAAGATATTTTTCTTTCTAATTGTATAAATAAGTCAATATGACAAAAAATAGTTTACTATGAGTAATCGTTTCATAGTATCCTGTGTTGAGTTTATTTTAAGAAAGAAAAATTAAAATAAAGAAGCATTAGAAAATCAAGATAACCAGTTATGGGTGTGGGTGTGAGGTGCGAGTGTGAGATGTGGGTGGGTTATCGTATTTATTCTATACCAACACCCACATCCACACCCACACACCCATACCGCGGTTAACCGCCGGTTTTCATCACATGGGGAAGCAACAAAACAAAAACAAATACCGGAACAAGAAGCAACAGAGCAAAAACAAATCGAGAAACAAGAAGCCACAAAGCGGAAACAAATAGAAGAAGAGGAAGTTACCAAAAGATTATTGAACGAACAAAAAATATTTTATTCATCATCGACGAATAATAGTGTACAAGAATTTTCATGTTATCATGATTTTTATACATTTTTGTGTAAAGGAAAATATACGTGAATTCAACGTTAATCATCTATTATAATAGATAATGAACATTATAATGATAATGTACAGTTGTGCATAAAAAATTATATAGATGCTGTTTTAAAATTGTTGGAAAAAACAAAAAAACAATACCAACAATTATTTAATAAAATTATAGTATATTTACCGTGAATATTTAATCATTGTACACAATTAAAATATATGAATGTATCAAAATGTTACCTTCAAAGAAAGTATCCTGATTGTACATTTATTCCAAAAAATATAACAATCGATATTCCTGAAGAAGGTAAAACGTGCCTTCAAGATTTTGTTATATGTCTTGGTGAATTAAAAACTTCAACGACTCCCATAGACAATGAAGAAGCCAAAGGTCAAACACTGTACTATTTGAAAATCTTATTAGAAGTTCAAGATCGTAAGAAAGCCTATGGTTTTTTAACAAATATTACGCATATGAGGTTTTTTTTTACGTGGAAAAGAATCCATAGACAGCTGAATTTAATTATATTGAAAGTAGAATTTTAAAAATATTTGATGATTCATGTAAAGAAAAAAAACCAACAAATATCATAACAACAACGGATCAACAATCTGAAATAATAGATCTTAATAAAAATACATGGAAAATATTTACAAAATTTTGGTTTCATCACCAACAAGTAATATTAGTTTTTAATTGACTTCTTTTTGTTAATAATTGAATCTGATAAAAATTTAGTTTAAACACATTTTCTTATTTACAATAGATTAAACATTTGAATAACTTTTGTTTTGCTAAAATACAAGAAAACAACAAAAAGTCAATAGTCGATAAAAGATTCCTATAAAAAATATTATGAATGAAAATAAATCAACGTTTGTTTTCCGTTTTCAACAGACCTTGAAGTTAATTTAATAAAAATCAAAGAAATAAATATACTTTTTTCAAATTTTTTTCTATTATAAAATATTATCATATTATTTTTCCTTTCTTGTAAAATCTTTAGAAGAAATTTTTAATCAAGATGAAAAATGCACTAAGTATTTTGATAAAATAATTTGTGATCATTAAGAAAATATGAGTTAAATTTTTCGTTTTGGGAAAAATTAACTCTTAAAAATCTGATGAAAAAAACAAGAAATAAAAAAAATTATTCTAGAAGAATTAGTTTTTGGTTTGAATAAATAAAATTTATTTCTTTATTGTTTGTATTTAAGTAATTTTATATTATATCAAAATGAATTACAACCTATAAAAGTCTTAAAATTAAATCAATCAAAACAACTTATTGATATAATTCAATATTTATATGATTGTCATATATAATTCATCGTAATTTAGAACCCAAAAATTTAATGTTAGATTATTGTCGTCAACAATTAAAATTAATTGATTTTAATTATGCTAAAATATATCAAATCAATAAAATGACAAAACCATTATCAATAGGAAGGTTCAATTACATTTAGTGAATATTAATTTCTTGATTTTATTTCTCATTTATCATCATTTGATTCATTATCTTCTTCAATTTATTATTATGAAAGAACTTTTGATTTAAAATGTGCATTAAATATTATTATTATATATATGAATGACAATATGATTCAAGATGATATGAAATCAATTATAAACATAAAATATTTTCAATTATTAAAATTACGGGAAAATGTTGAAAAAAATAAAAATTATTCAAATATTTTATATCTAATATATAATTTCAATCGATTATCAACTTTTGACATAATAAAAATTCAATTAGAAACGTTTGTATATTCTTAAATATATTTTTTATATTAATTATATATATATATATGTTAATGTCATTCATTGTTGATATGCATTTAATACAAGTATATTCAATTGATATATCGATACGAGTACTATAACGTTTCAATAAGCTCTATTTATTATTCTATTTTTCTTTTGCGTTCCTTTATTTTGTTAGTATTGTCTTCAGTGTGTTTGTGTGTGCGTGCGTGTATATATATGTATAATAAATTTATAGCATACAGAGAAAAATTTAATAATTAAATAATGGAAATGGAAATGGAAAATGGAAAATGGAAAATAGAATTTGTATTAAAATAGAAGAAAACAGAATGATTATTCTTAGAAAGAAAAGAATAATGCGTACTCGCACAGACAAGTCAACGATCACAACGACTTTTAAATAGTTCAATACGGAAATTATTACAAGTAACAAGTGAGTCAGATATAATGGCTGCGTTTTGTATATCAGTTTTGAGTCGTTCAATACGGAGTATTAAGAAAACAAATTATACTAAACGAGGCAGAGTGAAAACTTCTACAATTTGTATCAATTAGCTTTTTACCTAGTTGTCTTTTTGACTTTCAAGAAAATCCAATTTTTGACCGATCAAATTTTGATCCTGCGAAAACGATATTTTTCTTTCTTATTTTACCCTTTTAGCATCTCAAATCGTTTACTTAAATAAAACAAAATATAGGATTAGAGTGTGGATGTTGGTGTGAGTGTGGGAGGAAGGAAAACAAACGCCCACACTCACACCCCATACCCTAGTTGACTAATTAGGCATTTTCTCCACGAAGGAGTGGTCCGATCGAAAGAATTAGGTGTCCATTGGATAGAGCTCGTCGAGATCTATCTGGACAGTTATGTCTCCAACTCGAAGAGTGTTTCTGGGTCAATCGCGATGGTTCGTTCTAAATTGTCGCTGTTTTTTAGCCTTTTTTTTGCAGTATTTTTGGGTTTTCTTGGGGAAGGATTATTTTCTTCTGTGAAATCGGGTGTCCGTGGAATAGAGCTCATCGAGTTGCACTTGGAGAGTTCTTTGGTGCGAATCTTTCCAGAAAAATCTCGAGTCCTGACCTAAGATATCCTATGTGTAAGATTCTGTACTATTTGCTCATTAGCATTAAAATAATGACTATCATCTAATCATGGAATGGTCTATTAATAAGTGTTATTGAAGAATTTATGAAAAAAATCTTCAGATAGTGTATCAACACTTGGTATTTTTACATTAAACTTTTATTTGTATTCTAAGCGTCAACTATTCGTGAATATTTGTATAGATTTGTTTTATCTAGAAGCTATACATTTTATATGAAAATTAAGATTCGAAATCATGTTATCATCAATAGAATGATCAAAATAATCTTAACCTATCTTGCACTCTCAGGCATCAATAATTGAATTATATTCGCCTTGATTAAGCAACAAAAATACAACAGGATCAATTAACAAACTATATTGATAAAAAAAAAAAACGTTATAAAATGTATAGAAATCATTCTTAAGATTTTTATAGTTATCTTAATTGAATTTAAGTTCTTAAAAGAATTTTATTTCTAATCTATTGTATCGATAAGACCTTTCTTCTGTCATAGATTATAGATGAAATGATTTAAGGCGACATCTATACAATGAAATCCTCGTGATTTATTATTGACAGAAAAAAAAATAGATACTATTTAATTAGTCTTAGTTAGTGTACTCTTTTTGAAAATACTCAAAGTATAGATGAAATAAAATAAAATAAAATAAAACTTCAATGGATCATTTAAAGACGAATAAAATATTATTTTCTTCTATAACTTTCAATACTTGTGTTCTAGGTGGATTGCGAGTTTTTTATATTTATTTTTTCATTCATTAAATCTTATTTGTATTTAATTAGTTTTTTTTTCTAGTTTTCCTAAAAGCCTTTATTTGATTAATTTTTTTTTTATTTTATTTGATACAAAAAAAAAAGATCATTTTTAAGATTTGTGAAAATGATGTTGAGTCGCTCTGCATATAATAATACAGCACTTCGTTGTGTTACATTTTCTTTACGTATGCTTAAACGACCTTCATCATCGTATAACCAAGCTGTTCCTTTGATTTATAAATCACAAAAAAGAACAAGAAATGTTCCAATCTCACCAATAAACAATTCCACATCGGTAAATTTTTTATTAAAAAACTAAAAATTTTATATTTATTTTTAATATTTGATATATATAGCATTTCGGTTGTCGTTCATTTTCATTATCATTATCTCGATCATCATCTCTTGTTCAATTTAAATTAGCTGATATTGGTGAAGGTATACGTGAAGTTGAAATTAAAGAATGGTTTGTTTACTCATATTAAATTTTTTATCAAAAATTTTCTTATAAATAAAAAAAAAAAAAAACCAAATTCTTCAGGTATGCTAAAGTTGGTGATTCTGTTAAACAATTTGATAAAATTTGTGAAGTTCAGTCGGATAAAGCAAATGTAACAATAACATCTCGTTATGATGGAAAAATAGTTAAACTTTATTATAATGTTGGTGATACAGCTATAGTTGGTGAACCGCTTGTTGATATTAAACTTGAAGAAGGAGTTGAAGTACCAGTTGGAACTAAAAGTAAATAATTAAATTTTCAAATAAATTAAATCAAAATTTTGTTTTTGTATTAAGCTGAAACTGTTGCACCGAAAGAACCAACGGATACTGAAGTATCAAATAAAACACCATCACCAAATCTTTTAGCAACACCGGCAGTTAGAAGATTGGCTAAAGAATTACAAGTAAATGAAGAAAATATTTATTTTTTTATTTAAATGATATTCTTTCTTTTTTTTTGTTTAAATTAGGTTTCATTAAATGATGTTCAAGGTACAGGAAAAGATGGAAGAATTCTAAAAGAAGATGTAATAAATTATAAATCTGCACCATCAAAAGACGCTGCTCCAAGTAGTTTGTTTCATTTATTTATTAAGAAAATCAAATTTTCTTTTAAAAAACTTTTTGAAAAGGTTCAACTTCATTACCGTCACCATCACCTCCACTACCACCAACACCAGTAACCGTAAAACAAACTCCAGCAATAAATATTCAACCACCATCAACAACTCCAGTGGCAGATCGAAATGAAGCAATAAAAGGTATTCGTAAAGCCATGGCTAAAACAATGACTCTAGCGAATGCTGTACCACATTTTACATATTCTGATGAATATGATATGACACAATTAGTTAAATTAAGAAAACAATTAAAAAAACAAAATAAAGATATTAAAATGTCTTATTTACCATTTATAATTAAAGCATGTTCACAAGCTTTACATAAGTATCCAATTCTCAATGCACATGTCGATTCAAAATGTGAAAATATTACGTATAAAGTATGATTAAAAAAAAAACAAATATAGTTTTGTTTTTGTTAAAAAATAAAATTTCATTAAAAGGGTTCACATAATATTGGTATTGCAATGGATACAAAAGATGGATTGTTAGTACCGAATATTAAAAATGTTCAACAATTATCAATAAATCAAATTTCGAATGAACTTACGCGTCTTCAACAACTTGGAAAAGCCGGAAAATTATCAACAGATGACCTGACGGGAGGAACTTTTTCATTATCGAATATTGGAGCTGTAAGAAATATTTTTTTTTTGTTTTTACTTTAATTATTAGATTTGTTACAAAACAAAATTGATTGAACTTTCTGTTAAATGATAAAAAGGATAATGATTTCACTATTATTTATTTATAGTGAGAGTCATCGACGGAGAAGAGATTCATACTGAGATGATTCCAGATAACAAAGGCTTTGTCACACTTCAGAATGATAGCTGATTGAATTACTCTATCTATAACACAATATAGACATGTGAAAATCTTTCCTTGTTAATCAAATAATGGAAGTTAATACATTTAAATAGTAGAAAGCCACAAAAATGTCAAAATAGACGTTTCTTTGGACCCTTAGGAAAAATTCAGTCTTCTCATTCCAAATTCTATTTGTAGCAAGAATATCTGACAAAAGAATTAAAAATGAAATACTTTTTACTTCGTAGTGAGAGTTTTTGTGATTTACTGTAGAATCACCTAATGTGTACATTATGATCAGTAGACGTGCAAAGTTTGAGTGATTGAGAGACGAGAGGCATGTAATAACATCTTTTTAGCAACATTTTACAAGATAAGCGTAAAATATAAACACTAATTTGATTGTCGGATAAAACTAAAATTTGTAATTATTCAGGAGATGATGTAAACTCTGACCAGTTTTTTATTCAGATTTTTTTCTTCCGAAGGGGTGACTTAAAAGTTTCTGAGAGCGAACATCTATTTTTTGAGAACACAGACACATAATATGTAACAAAAGAATCACAAACTTCGGAAGGATACTGCCTCCATGCTGAAGAAAATAATGATTTCGGCACAGTTCCTGAATCGCATGACTATTAGTTATGATCGTAGAGTAATGATGTAGTTTCTATATCAATGACGGAGCCTTTTTGATATCCGGTAGACACAGAGCTATCCTACGCTTATGCAACCATTTCAAAAGTCTCTATGA